CTCTCTCTCTCTCTCTCTCTCTCTCTCTCTCTCTCTCTCTCTCTCTCTCTCTCTCTCTCTCACACACACACACACACACACACACACACTCCTAAGTGTGTAATAAAACTGCTTAGCCCTAATAATGTTACCTGTATGAATGTGATCTCAGGGCTAACCACTTGGTATTGGATAACTAAATTGAACAAGACTCAGAGGACCTGCACTGGATCTGACCTGAAAGCCTCCTCTCTGAGGACTAGGTTTCGTGGCACCAAAAGACCGTGCAAGTTTCCAAGGGAGGGAAGCAACCAATGTTCTACCCAGCTTTGACACCTGTGCACGAAAACAGTGACATGACAAAAGAATCCTAATGATATGGTGGTGGCGTAGATACCTTGATGGTGTCCAGCCTGGTGAACTTAGGGCCCACTCAGTAAGAGGGCAACATGCCTGGTGCTGAGAACCTAGTCGAATACCTGGAGCTAGTGAAGTCATGGATCTTGGGTGAGAACCTACAGCTGCTACTTTACTAAGCCAGCATAACCCCTAACAGCATTCTACGTACTTATCCTTATGCCTGTAGATGAGTATAGTTCTCACCCTAGTCAAAGAAACTCCTCTTTGCAAACAGATAGAGACCAAAACTTAGTAAAAATAGAACAAGAGATTGTATGATGCTTAGTTACAACTGATAGATGTGCAATACAGTTCCTGCACCAGTGGCCCAGAAATCGTTGTGGGGGAGAGGACAGAATGGTTGTAAGAGCCAGAGGAACCAAAAGTTTGCTGTGAGATTGTATCTCCTAGAAATGTCAAAGTGGCTTTACCCATGAAGTCTTGTCACCATGGCTACCTAAACAAGACCTGAACAAGGCTAACACCAATAGACATGGTAACATGGAAATGGGAAAGCTCAAAGGGCCTCACCCTTAGACAAAGAACTACATGCAGGTAAGAAATGCTGAGAGCAGGAGAAACGATCTTCCTTAGGGAAGAGCCCCCTAATTGGGTATCCAATATAAAGTCTATTTCAAGTCTATATTAATAACAGCAGTATAATTAAATAGCACTTAACTGGGCCAACAAGTTGGCTCAGTGGATCAAAACGCAGTCATGTAAGTCCTTAGTAAGGACTCATGCTGGAAGGAGAGAAGTGGTTTCAAAATTTGTCTTCTGACGTCTGCACATGTGCCTAACATATACACACAATAACAAAAATATGAAGCTTGAGGACATTTATTGATTCATTTTTTATAGTTTATTTATTTATTTATTTATTTATTAAAGATTTCTGCCTCCTCCCCGCCACTGCCTCCCATTTCCCTCCCCCTCCCCTGATCAAGTCCTTATAGTTTTTTCTTAATGGAAATGTTGAGAATGATTAAAAGAATACATGGTCTAGGAAGCAGTAGGGAATTGTCTTAGTTACTTTCCTATTGCTTTGATAAGACACCATGACCAAGGCAACAAAATGAGAGTTTATTGGGGACTTAGAGTTTCAGAGCATTAGAATCCATTATGGTGGGGAGCATGATGGCACCCAGGCATGGTGCTTATATCTTGATCCGGGGGGGGGGGGGGAGACAGACACACAGGGAGAGACACAGAGAGAGACAGACAGAACCGGGAATAGCATGGGGCTTTTGAAACCTCCCACCCCGTCCCACACAGATCCCTCTTGTGACATCCCCTCCAGCACGGCCACACCTAATCTTTCCCAAACAGTCCCATTAACTGGGCACCAGGCATTCAAATATGTGAGTCTGTGGGGGCCATTCTTATTCAAACTCCCACAGGGATTGAGCAGAGTTAAACATTTTGTGTGTGTCTGGGAGAAAGAGAATTCCAAAAGCCTTTTTTCTCTGAAGTGCATTATCACTTGATAAGATTGGAATTTGTCCATAATCTCTGGAACATGGCAATTCACTCTGCTTCCATTTCTATAAATAAGTGATCGTGGGTACAGAAAATCTGAGGGATGGAGAGTCAGAACTAGTTGTTGATAGTCACACCACAGCTACATTCCATGTTTTGCTCAAATACACTGTACTTTCTATTCTATACTATGTTTCGATATTATTACAGTTTATTAGTATATTTATTAGGCTGGGGAAAAAGGAATCTTTGGTGAAATAGAGTACCATTGTTCTTTGTGTTTTGTTTTTCTTATTTCCCCCTACAGAATTTTAGTTTAACCTTGAAATGTGATTTAAGAATCTAGTATTATATTCTTAGCAATATTGTTAAGTGAAAGGTTACTCCTTTCAACTTAAAATTCCTATAGACATTTGTGTGTGTGTGCGCAGAGGCACATGTGTTTGGGGAGTGGTAAGTGTGCATGTGTATGTGCAGGTGCCCATGCGTGCACATATGGAAGCCAGAGGTTTATGGTAGGTAGGTGTCTCTAATGCTCTCTATCCTTATTTTTTTTTTTTCTTCAAGTCAGGGTTTCTCTGTGATAGAGCTCTAGCTATCCTCGAACTCACTTTGTGGATCAGACTGACCTTGAACTCTGAGAGTGCTGGGATTAAAGGCATGCGCCACCACTGCCCTGCTCTATTTTATTATTTAGTTAATTATCTTTGAGTCAAGTGTTCTCACTGACCTGACACCAGTTGGTTAGATTTCTTGGCCACCGAGTCCCGAAGATGCCTGCTGTCTTTACTTCTTAGAGCCAGTATTGCAGGTGCATGCTACCATGCCTGCTTTTTATGTGGATGCTGGGGTCCACACTCAAGCCCTGTGCTTTACAGTACCTGCTCTACCCCCTGACTCATCTGCCCAGCCACAGAAATTTCCCTTTATACAAGTTTTGACTTCTTGTTTTTAGCAAAAGAATTCATGGCATCTACAGAAGTTTATAGTTTTTTTATTATTATTATTTCGAAATAAGGTCTTGCTGTGTGGCCCACGCCATAGCTCCCAATCCTTTTGTCTCTACTGCTGAGATTACAGGTTTGCACCAGTACACCAAGCACAAGTGGGTAGTCATTCTTTGATACTTGTGAATTTGAAGTTCTTTTTTTTCCAAGTGTTAATGTTTTTCAAGATGGTCTATTCTCAGTAATGATTGATCTGATTTTAAAATATCTTAATTTAAAAGGTTTTTCATTTTAATTATTTTGAAAATAATCAAATGTATTGAAATTAAATTGGAAGCCCTATATAAAATATTATTCTTTAGATGTTGCTGACAAAAATGCTTCTAACTGAAATTCTTCTGGACGTCACAGATGAAGAAATTTATTATGTAGCCAAAGATGCACACCGGAAAGCAACGAAAGGTACATTGTGGGTGTTCTTGTTTTTGCTTTTGTAGGGGAATTTTGATTTCATTGGTTATTTTAGACTTTTTTGTTGTCCTCTGGATTTCCATCAACTACTTAAATATTCTCTCCTTGCATGTGTTTACTCTTTGGGAAAGATACAGTTTGAAGCTGTCATGTTGGAACGCTAGCAGTGTTTTGTGTTATCAGACCTACCTAAGCACAGATAGTATTCATCCTGTAGTCCTCTAACACAGTGTGGAAAATTCCTCAAGCTCAGTAGATTTCACTGGTTTTGTTTTTGTTTTTTAAAAATAGATACCATGGTATCAATATATAACTTTTTAAATAAATTTTGAATTACATCAAAACTTCAGAGATTTCAGTTTATCAGTTAAAGTTCTTATAACACTAGTGGCAACCACCTTCCTATATGATTTTAATAACACCTGAAAAACATACAGAAAATACATTATGTGCCATAGGTCATAGAAAGAAATACAGATATACTTACCAACCTTTTTCTTCATTGTAAGCCAGTTTCAGCTCACATCAGAATTGTAATTTCAAAGCCAGACATGCTACTGGTTTAAAATGAATGTTATGTTTTTAATGTTTCTTCTCTCCCCAAAAAGCAGCAATAGTGGTAGATTTAACAATACCGTAGACTCTCATGACTATGAAATCGTGGCTATTTGTGTTAACATGTTGTTCCTGTTGTTGATGTGATACAAAGCTCCTGCAAAACAGCTGGCACAGTCCAGTGCACTGGCCTCCCTCACTGGCCTCGGTAAGTGTCTATGTGTGTGTGTGAGAGGGCTAGAGGGAGGCTCACTGATCTTGTCTTTCTGCTTGTTCTGTGGGAAATGCACTGTTCCTACTTAGTGGGCGAAACTTAGATGTCAGGTTTGCTTCAGCCTAAAAAAGCTTTATCCACTTTATTTGACTAAAGCATTCATAGTAGAATGATTATAAATGCAATAGTTAATGTAGTTAGTTCATTTGAGGGAGTTAAGTGGAGGATTTCTTCATTAATTGCTCCAGTGTGTAATATATAATATGTAATCATATGTGTTATATATTACATACGCATAGTCTGTACTTAATAGGTAGTAGTTTAAACCTTGGTGGTGTCTAAACTGCCTTTCAAAATTACAGCATACATACTTAGGAATTTGCCTAGAGAGTGATGGATTTAATGATTTACCTGAATTGTTTTGGAGCAACTCAATTTTCAACTTAGAGGAAATGGGTTTGTGTTACAGCAGTAGTGATGTATTTGCTATTTGCATGGTATTAAGATTAAAGCTTAAACTTGCCTTTTCCACATGTTAATTTATGTAAGGAACAAGAGAAATGGGTAGAATGAAATGCCCATGTAGTTTTGATATACTTCTGGGTGGGGAGTAGTTCACATCATTTCTATACCAGTGAGAATTACAGTATTCTGATTTATTAGAGAAAATTTGCTTAGCACCCTACCTGAACCCAGGAAACTTTGAACAATAAAATAATTAATTTTACAAATATTTTCAGAATCATCCTCAACATTATTCCAGTAGTTGGATTGACTAAACTTTAGTAAGGCTTCATTATTGCCATGTTAAGTGCTTTGTTGGTTTGTGTGGACAATAAAAGAAAGCTATTATTATGATTCCTTGGTGGTGAGAAATATGTGAAATCGTCCAAAGAATAAGATATTACTATCACCATTGTCTGAGGATTCTGAGAATTTAATCTTTGAATTTATGCCTCTCCCTACCCGGAATAAGCATAATTTTCCAGGAAAAGGCAATGAAAAAATAAAATTTCTTCTTGGAGCTTTAAAAGTTTTTAGTGGATAATGTGATGTTTTCATATGCTAGAATGAGTTTTATGCACACAGGTGGCCTGGGTGGTTATGGCTCAGGAGACAGTGAAGATGAGAGGAGCGACAGAGGCTCTGAGTCATCTGATACTGACGATGAAGAATTACGGCACCGAATCCGGCAAAAACAGGAAGCTTTTTGGAGAAAAGAAAAAGAACAGCAGCTATTACAAGATAAACAGATGGAAGGTAATCCTAGATTTGTGTAGCTTTTGTGTAGTTTCATATGTGCTTTTTTGAACGGATTATGCATATTAGTGATTTGAGTCAGCAATAGTGCATGAGTGTCTCATTAAGGATAGAAATAAAAGCACTTCCCCTTGGAATCATGTAAACAAGAGCAAGTTCCGATTTGAAATCTCTGCTTCATGTTCGCTGTGTGTTCTGTCTCTGTTGTGTGAGTCCAAATCTGCCTGTCTCTGTACCTGTGTCTGTCCTTGTGAGACTGATTATCTGTGTCTTTGTCTTACCCTAGCAAAAGACTTTGCTCTGTAGTTATTGAACAGCACAGAAAATATCCGCTGGGAAAAGAATGAGATACAGAAATTAAAAACCGGGCGGTGGTGGCGCACGCCTTTAATCCCAGCACTCAGGAGGCAGAGACAGGTGTTTGCAGTTTTCAGCAAATGATGCACATGCATAGTCTGGGTCAGGAGAATAGTAGAAGAGTAGTCATTTAAGATTACAGCTCTGGGGGCTGGAGAGATGGCTCAGTGGTTAAGAGCATTGCCTACTCTTCCAAAGGTCCTGAGTTCAATTCCTGGCAACCACATGGTGGTTCACAACCATCTGTAAAGAGATCTGGTGCCCCCTTCTGGCCTACAGACATGCACACAGACAGAATATTGTAGTATACATGATAAATAAATAAATATTAAAAAAAAGATTACAGCTCTGTATTAGCTTAGGTTGTGAAAGTTCATTGCATGGGCAATCCAAGGCAAGTAAAGTTTATTGTTCTATTTTCCCATTAAAAGCAGGTTAACCAAACAGTCTGAGTCTGAGTATACAGCAGTCTTATGTCCTAAATGACCTCAGGGTGTGTTATTAACTTTGGCTGTGAGGTCCAGCAAAAGCTCCAGTCTCTGAGAATGTAAGAGATAGCTTTATAATATTGTAGCACCACAGTTTTAGTTTTAGACCAAGTAGAGATATTGTAGGATAGAACTGGAGGCTTCATTTTAAGTGGTATGATAACAGCTGAGATTAAGATCACACTGTATTTTTTATTTTGTTTCAGTTTGTTGTAGGAGCCATTCATCCCTGTAATCATAAACCAGGCTCTTTAGATATCTTTATTTTGTACTGGACAAAGGGGAAACCTCTGCATTTTGATACTCTTACTGTACTGTCTAGAACAGTAAATGGCTAACAACATGTGGCTTTTGAGAACTTGAAATGTAGCTAGCCTTTAACTGAAGTATTGATGTAGGTAGATGGCGCTAGACTTCAAAGATTTTCTGTGGAAAAAAGTCTCAGTTCTTTTTGATTTAGTGTTTGAAATATTAATACTTTTGACATATTAGGTCCATGAAATGTGGAACTTTATTTTTACCATTTTAATGTAGCTGTGGGAAAGTTTTTAATTATTTAGGAGGTCTGTACCCTAATTCTATTAAAAATGAAACTATTATTATAATTTGTTAGTATGGTAGTTTTTCATTTCTTACTTACCTTTTTTTGTGTCTTTTTGTCTTTCTGTTTCAGAAGAAAAGCAGCAAACAGAAAGGGTTACAAAAGAGATGAATGAATTTATTCACAGAGAGTCAAATAGTTTATCACTGCTAGAAGCAAATGAAGCAGACGGTGATGTGGTTAACGAAAAGAAAAGAACTCCAAATGAAGCTCCATCAGCGTTAGAGCCCAAAAGAGAGCATAAAGGGAAAGAGAAAGAACGAAGGAGTAGGTCAGGGAGCAGTAGTAGCGGCAGCTCCAGTAGCAATAGCAGGACTAGCAGCAGTAGCAGCTCCGTCTCCAGTTCTTCATACAGCTCCAGCTCAGGCAGCAGCTGCACGTCCTCTCGCTCCTCTTCTCCTAAAAGAAAAAAGAGACATAGTAGGAGCAGGTCTCCCACAGTGAAAGCGAGGCGGAGCAGGAGCAGGAGCTACTCTCGCAGAGTTAAAATAGACAGCAGTAGGACTAGAGTGAAGCTGCGAGACAGGAGGAGATCTAATAGAAGTAGCCTTGAGAGAGAGAGACGAAGAAACCGGAGTCCTTCCCGAGACAGACGTAGAAGCAGAAGTCGCTCAAGGGATAGACGAGCCAATCGTTCCAGTCGCAGTAGGAGTCGAGATAGGCGTAAAATTGAGGATCCACGTGGAAATCTTAGTGGGAGCAGTCATAAGCATAAAGGTGAGGCTAAAGAACAAGACAGGAAAAAGGAGAGGAGTCGAAGTGTAGATAAAGACAGGAGAAAAAAAGACAAAGAAAGGGACCGTGAACAGGATAAACGAAAAGAGAAACAGAAAAGGGAAGAAAAAGATTTTAAATTCAGTAGTCAGGATGATCGACTAAAAAGGAAGCGAGAAAGTGAGAGAATCTTCTGTAGGAGTGGTTCTATATCTGTTAAAGTCATAAGACACGACTCTAGACAGGACAGTAAGAAGAGTGCTACCAAAGACAGTAAGAAGCATTCAGGTTCTGATTCTAGTGGAAGGAGCAGTTCTGAATCCCCTGGAAGTAGCAAAGAAAAGAAGGCTAAGAAGCCTAAACATAGTCGATCGCGCTCCATGGAGAAATCTCAAAGGTCTGGTAAGAAGGCAAGCCGCAAACACAAGTCTAAGTCCCGATCAAGGTAGTATACTTTTTAAAGTATTTTGTCTGCTTTTTTTTTTTTTTAAAGTTTTTTGAATTTATTCAAAGTTGAAAGTGTCCTTTCTCTCTCTCTTTATAAACTCAGTTTGGTATTTGTTAAATATTTTTAAATAATTTTAGAAATCCTATATAACAGTATTTATTTATATTGCAGATTTTAAGTATAAATACATTTTTATTTTTAAATTTTGTCTTTTCCCATTTTTTTTTTTCAGATCAACAACCCCTCCCCGTCGTAAGCGCTGAGGAATGATGTGGCAAGAGCCATGACGCTGTTTTAAAAATTCCATGAGTTTTAAGGGCTTGTCTCATTATAGAGGCACATTGTGGCTGTGTAGGTGAAACCAGATTTTTTTTTTAATTGTGTAAATAGGTGTCTTTTTCCAAATGCTGCTCCAAGTTAATAGGATTTCTTTGTATTACATTTTTTCAAGAAATAGTACATAATAAGACTATAAATATGCCATTCTCTTTCAGCTGTATTGTTCTTAAAATTATTCCTGAATGTACTGTGATGTCAATAAAGCTCTTCAGTTCATTTTTGTTAAACTCTTGCACATTAATTTTATGATTTTAACCTAAGGAACGTACTTTTATAAAAAGGCAGCTGAAGTTTTGTACAACAGGTTTTAAAAGTTCCTCACATCTTCCCCAAAGAAAATGGTTTTAACCTAATAGTTTGTCAGAGTTTGTAAATTATGCCCATGGACTTTTGTCAAATTCCAGTTTTAAGGCTGTAGGAAAGGGCCAGAAAACAACCTTACTTTTCATTTGAAGGCATCTGATCAGCTTTCTAAACTATATTTTTGGGGGGCAGGGCTCAAGTAATATATTCTCTATGTGTATAAACTGTGATTCACTCCTGTAAAATGAAATTGCTGAAAACAATCAGGCCATTGCACCAGTAGAGTTCTTTGTAATGAATATTTGACACCAATAGTCAAGTCTGGAACTATATAGTCACTTCTGTTTTACATGCATAACACCTAGGGGTTACCATAGAAATAGGACTTAGGATTCACTATATCTATATTTTTGAACTGTAATATGGCCTCAGCTTAATGGAGGAATACTGTATTATGCAGGATTGTGTTGATTACATAGCATTAAAATGGTCTGATTTTGTCAGTTTCCAAAAATTAGGACCCATGAGTGGTCTGTGTGAGCCACGGCTTCATGAGTAGTGGGCATTCTGACAGGCGCTCAGCTGCCTCGGGGTCTGGGTTTTTAAGACGATACACTTATGCAGTGATAGACGGATCTCTGGAAACAATGCTTTTAAATTCCAACTGAAAAAGAGGAGTGCAAGTGCAGAATGCAGAGGAGGTTTAAAGTATTATGCTTTCTTACCAGCAATAGTTTACTTTAAAAATAATGCCAGATTTTTGCCAAGATCAGTGTTTCCTCAAAGTGAAGACAAACATAGACTTGTTTGTGTGCGCTTGTACCTCGACATAGCATATTAATTTTGAGCAGTTATGCATTTATCTAAAGGAATAAATCTGTGAATAAATGCATGTTTACCATGATGGCTGTTTACAGTGCATTTAGTTCCAATATTTAGAGTTGCCATTTCACAGAATAAATAGTTTGGAGTTTTATATAGTTTACTCATCAGTAACACCTGGAGACAAAATGTGCAATATTTTTATGTAGGTAAGCTAACACAGTGTACCTAATTGAAGAATTCTGATTAATTTGTAACAGATAAGTTGTATAAAATTTTCATACCTTAAAGTGTTTAGATCAATCTTCAAGTGAAATATTATTTTCAAAATAAAATTCTACTGAAAAATTTTGCTGGCTATGATACATACATTTTTAGACATACAAATGAGAGCCAAAAGGAATTTGCCAGTTTTATTTAATTATTTGCATGCTTTTTATCATTAAATCTGTAATTTTAAAAACCAACAAAGTATTCATGATTTTTAGTAGGTACACCTGTTGTATTTGTCAGATTTTTGTGGAAAATTCATTGTTTCTTTTACATGTGACATAGTGTTTATATGAGTGGGAAAATAATTGTAGAATAGAGCTTGCATAATTGAGGATGTGAATGCTAAGTCATACATGAAAGCTAATTAGATGTAACTTTGGATATGGATCCTTTAAAAAATGACACTTTCAAAAAATGAATACCTTCAATTTTTGAGACATTGAGTCTGGATTGGTTTAATCAGAGTTGTTTTTAAGAGATTCTCTTGAAAGGCTGGAGAGATGGCTCAGTGGTTAAACACTTGCTGCAGCTTTTAAAGAGGACCCAGCTTTGTTTCCCAGCACCCATCCTAGGCCGTTCACAGTCTGCTGTAAGTCTAGGCCCGGGGGTAAGACACCTTCTCTAACCCATACGTGACACACATACACAGCATAGATTGGGAAGAGACGTGGATTGATTCTCTTCAGGGCTATGGATTGCCTCAGCAGGTAAAGGTACTTGTCATAAATCTTGGTGACCTTAATGCTCAGACCCCAGTGGTAGAAAGAGAGAACCAACTTTGCAAAGCTGTTCTGTCAACCCATGTTCATACCTTACAGTGTTTTAGATCAATCTTCAAGTCAAATACTGTTTTCACTTTAATAATACTACTGTTCTGAGTATTAATATTGTTAAAACTGAGATAATACTGTTCATTAACCCTCCCACACTTGCATTGTGTGTGCTGCACATACACAGTAAATGTGTGTGTGTGGGGGAAATCCTAAAAGATTCTCTCTAGCGTAGGAATCAGTTTTTGTGGAATACCCCCTGAAAATAATGTAATTTGGAAAAGAAAATTAGATTTGTCTCAGGCCCCACATAAATACTGGCATTTTCATTAATGTTTATGTCTTCTGCCTCTGTAGACTATCTTGTTGATTGATCTTTCATTTCTTTCTTTGGTTTTTCAAGAAAGCATTTCTCAGACTATCTTACCAGGCTGGTCTCAAACTCGGAGACCCACCTGCCTCTGCCTCCCGAGTGCTAGGATTAAAGGCATGTGCTACTAACTGCCCAGTTTAAAAAAATATTTAATGTATTGAATTTTGTTTTTGTTTACTGGGTTCCCCCCACCCCCCAAAATGGGGTTTCTCTGTATAGCTTTGCAGCCTGTCCTCTCTGCCTTTGCCTCCTGAGTGCTGGGATTAAAGACGTGCCGCCACTACCCGGACATACTGAAATTTCTAAACTGAACTAATGATGAATATATACTCTCTATGCCCTAGGTGGGGAGTTACAGGTGGTTGGTGATGGATCACACTGTGGATGCTGAAAACTGAATGTGGGTCCTCAACCATTTCTCCAGTTTCCCCTTCAAGTTCATTTTTCAATAGAATTGCTATGAGAGAGTGTTTCAGAGTTACCAAGTGATAAAGATTTTATATCTTTGTGAGTAAATACGAAAACCCATTCAACTGAGTGGGTGTAGTAGTAGATTGTGAAAGAATAAAACTTTAATAGACATTAATTTTTATGAAAAAAACCTAGAAAACGCATTAAGGAATGCTAAATAGGTATTGACTTTTCTAGAATATGTATAAGCTAGTTTACAGTTTGTTCTTAGGTTAGACCAGAGCTACTCTAGGAAATCTCTGCAACAGTGACCACATACGGCAGTAGAGTCAGCGTGGTTTTATTTCTGACACAGCTCAGGCTTAACTTACAGAAAGCTTTCTGTTGATGTGTTGGGGTTTAGAAAGCTCTTTGCTTCCTCCTAGTATTTCAGGCACTCACTGAGTGCCTTTGTTGAAGTGAGACTGGGAAGGCTGGGAAGCTGTGTGGTGTACATTTAATGTAAGTAGGTTTACGGGAAGTCATTAGAATCTAAACCATGTTTGCACTATTGATTTTCCTTGGATCTGTCAATCCAACAAAAACATGTTAAACATGTTAAAAAAAAAAAAAAGACATGTTAACTTTTGTGTATCACTTTCCGCCTTCATCTGGAGACATGACTTCTCCAAACTCAGGGCTCTGAATGTGCTCCAGCAGCTGAAAAGCCTGCTGCAGCTAGTATGTTAGTTAGCTCAGGATATGTAAATGAGAGCTTAGTAAATCTCATTGATTCAAAGAATGACACTGCCTGTTGCAAATGTAAAATGATGCCCTAAGTTTTAGGAATTTACTCTTCTTTTATGAGGAAGGGCTCTTTTTTTTTTTTTTTTTTAACTGCCTGGTTTGCTTTCTGTTGCTATGATCAAACATCAGCCAAAAAGCAATTTGAGAAAAGGATTTAGAGATTCCAATCCATCATTGAGGGAAGCCAGGGCAGGATCTATAAGTGAGAGCTGCTTACTTACTGGGCTTTCTGATACAACCCAGGAACACTTGCCCGAGGGCTGGACCCTCCCACGTTGGTCAATCAAGAAAATGCCCCACTTCCATACCCACTGACCACTCTAATGAAGGCAATTCAAATGAGGCGCCACATTCCCTGGTGTCACAGTTGACAAAAAATAACTAGCATGTGCAGTCAGAAGGAAAATGTTATGTACTGATCTGTTTGTCTAAACTAGTGTTTTCTGCTACATAGGATGTATCCTATACAGAATATAAAGTCAGTTTCAAAAAATGTACTTTAAATTTGGACTTCTGTTCTCTGTGATGCCTTGAGAGAGAAAGATTTCTGCTCTCTGAAGAAGTGCGTCCGTACTTAGTGATTTTGAGTACTAGAGTCAGGGTCTTCCAGGAACACACATCTCTGGAAAGGTAACTTGGTAAATAGGAAATCTGCACACAGTAGGGGAGATGAGTAGGGATAGAAGATCTTCATGGAATTTTTATACTATAAGGAGGGTTTTATTGTTTCATTGAAGACATAATTTGGTAGATGAGGTCGAATTAACAGTGGTCCCAAACTCACATTAACTAATGTAAATGCAAAAGCCGGCAGCAGATGGCGAGTGTGGGCATCGGAACTCTTCTGTTGGGGATTTGTTGTGTGGAGGGACCGGAAAAGGAGTGGGATTCTTGTCGCTATGTGGAGCGGTCGAAGGCTGAGCTCTTGTGGGGTTCGTTTTTTAGAAACTCTTGGCTCTGGGTGTCCCAGCGCAGTAGCCGAATCTCCTCGTATGACTTCATGGTCGGGTGAGTGTCGCCGCGGTTTTTCCGCAACCTTCCATTGCCGCTGGCGGTCTGCGCAGGCGCGGCAGAGAGCGGCGGGCAGTCGCGGGCTCAGTGTTGGTTCAGCTACCAAACCGTACCTCGCGGCCACCGTCTCACCCTGGTTGTCCTTCAGGACTAGGTGTTGCCCTCCCCGGTGGTTCCTCTAGTTCAGAAGTCGAGAAAAAGCTGAGAACTAAGAATCTGGGCGGCGGGGAGCGTTTCCCGTGGGCCGCCGCCATGGAGCCTCAACCTTTGACCTGTTATATTTGAACTCTGAGCTTCTGCCCCCGGGAACCCCCAGTCGTCTTGCTGGAGCCTGAGGTGGTGCTTGCTCTTCTTACCAGAACAAGAAAGACACACCTGCTGATCACGTAGCACTGTGTCGCCTCTTTGTTGCTCATTATCTTGCCACCTCCGCCAAAGATTTCAAGGCATTTGTGCTCTTTTGTTTTCCTCTAACAACCCTGGCTCCGGAGACCAGGCTAGCCTGAGTTCACAGAGATCCACCTGCCTCTGCCTTTCTGGTGCTGGGATTAAAAGTGTGTGCCAACACCGCCCCGCAGCCTCATTTATGCTCTCTGTTAATAACAATTCACCTGTTGTAAATGGAATTGGGGAAGAAAAAAAAAACTAGTTGCGTTTGGTGCAATAGATTTTGAACTCCCAAATAGTAAAATTAGGTTCATCCTTTACACGAACATGACTACTATATGGTAGAATGGTATGGAAGGGAATTTTAATATGATAATAAAGGCAACAAAACCTACTTAAATATACTTGTACTCACCTGAAAAAAAAATTAGGATAGTTTTAAGAGAGCAAGATATAAACCAGTATTAGTCATAAACTTGGAAATGTAGCAGGGAATACATATTCAACTTTAGCAAATTTAGGAATAGGTGATTTTGTATCATTTTATCATGTTTTATATGCTTTTATTTTCTTAGCCTTTATTTTTAAGGATTTTTATTTTATGTATATGGGAACTTTGCTAATATGTGTGTCTGTGCATCATGTGGGTATCTGGAGCCCTCAGAGGCCAGAAGAAGGCGTTGAATCCCCTGAGTCTGATGTTCCTACTGGTTATGAGCTGTCCTATTGCTGATAGGTAAGGAAGCCCAGTCCCCCAGAAGAACAATCTGAGCTATCTCTCCAGATATATATATATATGTGTGTGTGTGTGTGTGTGTGTGTGTGTATGTATATATATATATATATGTATATATATATGCGTCTTTTATAATCAGAAATTTAAAAAAGAACCAAGAAAACCTACAAATTTTGTAGGAAGAACATCTAATCTGTATTTGGGATTAGGGAAAGTCTTGAATGAGGTAGAGAGCAAATGAGGTTAGAGGGTATTAAGGTGGGAGTGTCTCCCCAGCCCTCTAACACCCTTATATCCAAGAAGTCTGGGATGATTGGAAGCCCCTGGCTGGACCCTGTGTGTGAAAGTGTCCGTGAAAGGCAGAAGAGGACAGCAGAGTCTCCACAACAGGCGTTACAGGTGGTTGTGAGCTAGGGATGCTGGAAGCTGACTTTGGCATCCACATGGTTGTTCATAACTGTCTGTAACTCCAGTCCCAGGAAAGTCATTGTCCTCTTCTGACCTCTATGGGCACTGCAAACATCAGGTGCACACAATATTCATGCAAGCAAACACATAAAATTAAAACAAATTTTAACCAGTCTGAGGTCAACCTGGGCCCCACAGCAACACCCCACAGGTCAGCTGAGATACAGCTCAGAGACCCCCAGCTCAGAACCATGGCAGCACAAATAGCGAAACAACAATAAAACAATTTGAAGAGCATAAGTATTGGTATATATATAAATGATCATCATATTAGATAAGATACTTTACCTCACTCATGATGAATTAAAGCTACATTAGTAAACCATTTTCACCAATTAACATTGCATGGGTGGTCAGTGAGTAACCAGGCATTAGACACTCATGTGCATATCTTGTCTGTAGGGTTATAAATGGATAGATTGATTCAATATCTATGAATGTCAATTGCAAACTTGTAAACGTGCTCACATTTGGACCTTTTTGGTGTTTCACATAAAGGAACATATAGAAAATTTAGTTCAATTTCATGGTTTGGTATTAGAAAAAAGAAATAACCTAAATGCTCATTAATATGGAGCTGCTTGAATAAATGATAATATACCCATGCAATGGATTACTGTTTAGCTCTTAATTTAAGCAAAAAATGTACAATATTGTGAAGCAGTCTCCAAAAATCCCCTAGTAGATAAAAAAGCAAGGTACAAGAGAATGTGCATGTTTTGTAAAATGACAGGAATTGATAAAGTAATTGCATATGTATAAAAGGTTTCTGGAAGCTTGCATGCAAATCTAGTGACATTAGCTGCCTACAAGGAGAGAAAGTGGATGGTGACAGCAGAGTTGGAGAACTATCCTGTTACTGGACTTTGTGACTGAAAAAGAAAACTATTGTAAGTCATTTAAAACCCACAAATTGCAAAAAAAAGAAAAAAGAAAGAAAGAAAACTATAGATATCTTAATTGTTCTTTTAAAAAAAGAATACAGTCTCTATGTATCTAAAGAACCTGATTAGTCTAACTATAAGTATGACAAACATGGACAACTATTGACCTATAATACCTAGTACCTATATAACTTAAAGACTAAGACTTCATATTAGAATATTAAACAATCTTTAAACAAATGTGTAGCAAATGAGCAAAATGACCTCAAAATGTAAACAATATATAAGTATATTGATCAGAGATAGAAATGTATAGTGCAGTATGATAACTATATCCTAAAATTGCATCTATATACAAAATATCATAAGCAGAGGTAGAAACATACAATAGGTATTTATCATGTTAAATATGGCTTGGCTAAATATTAATATAAGTTTAGAGCATACAATATGACAAAATAACTCTGTCTAAGTACACAACTATTATAAACAGAAATAGGAGCATATTCAATATAATAAATATAATTTGAATTTACATTAATATACAAAAATTTATACCAATGTAAATTGTCTATAAATAATAACTCACAAGTAATCTCACTATTACTCACTATTATTATTAGTGTAAGTAAGCTTACACTAATCTATCTATTATCCCATCCATTTCCCACCTCTTTATTTTTTTCAAGAGAGATCTCTGAACTCGAAGCAGTTGCCCACTGAAAACTTGAATAGGTATCAATGGTGTGGTGTACATATTTTAATTTTCTAAATTCTACAAAGTGGAACACATCCATCTGCTAGATTTCATTCCTTTGAGTACCCTTTGGGTTACTTCTTGCAGGTAGTGGGGTTTGGTTATATAAAGAGCAAGTAGCGATTCTCTTTATAATCTTTTAAAAAAATATTTATTTATTATGGATACAATACTCTGTTTGCATATATGCCTGCAGGCCAGAAGAGGACACCAGACCTCTTTACAGATGGTTGTGAGCCACCATGTGGTTGCTGGGAATTGAACTCAGGACCTCAAAAACAGCAGCCTGTGCTCTTAACCACTGAGCCATCTTGGGTATTATTGGGTACTGCATTGAGCATTATTGGATACTGCAAACCGTGCACAATAAATAAGGACTAAAGTTGCATATGTGTGATGTTTTCCTTCACAAAAAAATATAGATTAGATCAGGACTTTGGTATGAGGAAATTCTTGTACCCAAAAAAGCAACTTTTGTGTAACAATAAATAGTTGGAGGTTCAGTCCTCGAAACTGTACCTCCCTGCTGCCACAGAGCCTGAATTACATCCTAGAATGACCCACTTTCTTTGATTGTCCCTCGCAACACAGAACGCCTTACACACATGTAAAACTGATTACAGTCCACTAATGTGTCACCAGTAGACACAGTACTAAAAGTGGAAAACTACTGTAGAATGTGCTATGGATTATAAGTGTCAAAGCTGTAAATGAATAGGACTTAGGAAGGAGATGGGGAAAGTGATATAAAATAGAAAAAGAACATGGCAAATGGACTAAAGGAGAAAGGGAGTGTTGAATGTAAGGGCTGTAAAAAGATCAAGAGAATAGGAAAATAAAGAAGAAACATTTTGAATGGCTAAAACATTCAAAATCAAAATTAGATAAATGTCAAGGGATAAAATAAAAATAAAAACATGCTGTTAAAAAAAAAAACCTGGTGGAAAGATGGCTCAGTCAGTAAAGCATCTGGTGCTCAGGTAGGAGAACCAGAATATAGATCCTAGAACCCAAGGAAAAGCCGCTTGCAGCGACTTCTCTGTAACTCCTGCAGTGGTGGGGTGGACTGGCAGAGACAGTCAGATTGGCAGAGATGTGTGGCTCCCTAGAGCTCACTGGCTGGCAGCCTATCTGAATGAATGAGTTCAGAGAGAGAGTGTGTCCTAAAATATAGAGTGGTGGAGAAAGACATCTGATGTCAACTTTTGGCCTCATGCATGAGCATGTTTACAAATTTCATAAGTACATACTGCATATACATACCACACACGGTGCATAAGCACATTTTTTTAAAAAAAACATGTAACAATTTCTTCTGAATTAGAACTTTCTTTGCAGGAAGAAAGGAGAATAAATGAATCTCACAAGTTGGGAAAGCTGATAAGAACACGATTTGCAAAAGTCCCTCCCCAAGGCTATAGAAGCTATAAACAGTTGCTGAGAGGAGAGACTGGCCTACTCAACTGCTTGTGAGCCCTGCAGAGAGCCCAGGGGTTCCAGCTTCATGAGTTCTTACTCATGATGGGGTGGGATTTTTGGCAATATAGCTGCCTTCCAGTGGCTCTGGCTCCCGTATCCGCCCCTCACCCATAACCCTGTAACTAGTATTAATGAACTCATGATTTGCCAATTGGACTTTGGTTTGTGGTTGTCTCTCTATTGTTGCTTTTGCATCAGCACAAAGCCTGCACTTTGCTGCTGTTTTATCCAGGATTGTGGCTCCACAGTCATTGGCCTGCTTTTCTGGCTGTTTAGGCCGTGGCCT